TTGTATTTTGATGTTTGAGGTAGAGTTACGGGTATGTCTCTACGAGAATACCGGCATGAATTTAGACGGATGGAGAGGTTTGTAGAAGTGACTGGGGAAGGGCATAATTGGGGTCGCTGGGAGAAGAGGTGTCAATTGTTCGAGAAGTTTGGAGCACGACTATTGGAGGGAATGAAGATGAAGGCGATGAACGTCGAGTAAGGGAGGTCAAAAGCGTCTGTTTTAATTGCGTGTAATTGGTGAGGAAGAGTCGAGAGTTATGACTATATGTTCATAGAGGGGGGTTGGAAGGTGGCGATGGTAAAGAGGGGGGGTTAGAGGGAAACTGGAGGACCTTGAGGAAGGAGGGGGTCGCGGCGGAAGGGTCCAAGTTGGAGCAATGGAGGTTGAACTATTATGAGGTAGACTAGCCAACCAAGGAGGTTTAGGGTGTTGGACAGAGGGAACTGGGAGATGGGTGAGGAGAAGGACTTCAGGACGGAGGGGCAGAAGACGGGGCATAGAACGATTGGAAAAGTTGAGGAGCCGACAGGGTACCTTGGCAAGGAGGAGTACGGAAGTTTTGACGACCGGCAATGAGGTTAGGAGTTTTTTGGGACCAGACTTAGGGAGGAGGGAGTGATTAGGGCGGGGTAGAGGTTTGGGATGTAAGGAGAGTTTTTGAGACCTTGCGTAACCATCGGTTTGTTTAAGTGACGGGTAGAGGTTTGGTTGGTCGAAAATACTTGGGGAAGGTCAGACGCTTAAAGCAGGAGTGGTGGTCATGTCTTTGACGTGAGCAGTTTTCAGGAGTTACTGGAGGCAGGGAGATGACTGTGACCAAAGGGAGTTATAAGAGTAGACAACGGAGCTGGACTCACGGGTAGGAACGACTATGGCGACACTCGGCATGATTGTAGGACGACTCGTAGGCTGAAATCCCTGTTAACATATACTTCTGCAATACGGTGAGGTCTACCGAGGTCAGGATGAGTGACTTGCTAGGGTGAAGTAGAGGGACGGGTTGGTGAGGAGACGGTGTCGAGTCAGTGGGTTCCGTCAAAGGAGTTCCTAGTCGATGAACCGAAGTGTTGAGGGAGGTGAGTAGGGTGGAGTTGAGGTGGTTGAGCAGATCATCAGGTGAGCTGAGGGTTGCGTCCAGGGGGAGATTAGACGATAGCTGTTCGGAGAGATGGTTATGGTCAATGGAGTGTAGATTACGGAAGGTGATGTTTCTGGGTGGGCAGGGGTTTCGGGTGGGGGAGGCAATGGTGAATTGTATGAGTTTGTGGTCGGAGAGGGGAAATGGGCAAGGGTGGAGGTCAATCACTGGGAGGTTGGTAGAGCAGACGAGATCAAGAATGTGTCCTTTGTCATGGGTGGGGAAGGTGACATGTTGGGTGATAGAGAAATTGTCCAGTAGGGTTGTGAATTCGGATGCCAGCTTGCAGGTGGGTGAGTCAATGTGAATGTTGAGGTCACCAAGTAGTAACAGACGTTGAGACAGGGATGAGGCAAGTGTGAGGAACTCAGTGAAATCGGAGAGGAAGGAGGGATGAGGTTTAGGAGGCCGGTAGATGAGGATGACTGTCAGTGAGGGAGGGGCTTTGAAGGCAATGAATTTAAAGGATGATACTGAGGGGAGGGTTAGTCCCAGATCTGGATGTTCTGATTGTGGATTACAGCAAGGCTGCCACCACGGCGGGAGGGGCGGGGTTTAGTGATGTATTTAAAGCCAGGGGGGGATGTTTGGTTGAGGGAGAAGAAGTCATCGGGCTGTTGCCAGGTTTCGGTGAGCAGAAGGAAATCAAGGGATTTTTCCAAGATTAGTTCATGGAGGATGAGGGCTTTCTTGTTGAGTGATCGGATGTTAAGGAGGGCAATGTTAGTTGAGTGGGAGGGGCGTGGTGTGGTCACAGGCTGAAGAGGTAAGAGGTTGTCCAGGTTGACAGTGCGGGGAGGAATGTGAGATGGGGGGGGAGGAGCGGAGAGGAGGTGGAAGGAAGTGTGTTATTATCAGTTTTTGGTGGTTGAGGGCGGTGGAATCCACTCCAGGTATTTGGGCCAGCTCTGAGCAGAGGGCAGTGGAATCCACTCCAGGTATTTGGGCCAGCTCTGAGCAGAGGGCGGTGGAATCCACTCCAGGTATTTGGGCCAGCTCTGAGCAGAGGGCAGTGGGATCCACTCCAGGAATTTGGACCAGCTCTGAGAAGAGGGCAGTGGAATCCACTCCAGGTTTTCGGTACAGCTGGGATTGTAACGGACCAGTGGTGGGTGTATAATATGGAGTAATAAGTGCGTTCAGATGACATGACAGTTGTGGGACATGGCGGTTAGTCGACCAGATAGATGTTATGGATGATTTTCCGGACTGGGAGTAAACAAATCTGCGTTTGGAACCTCTATGGACATACCTCGGTCTGCGTAGAAGCCCGAGGCAATTGATGACAGACAAGCATAGAGGAAGCTCAGAAAAGTTATTGAGATTAAAAAGTTGGGAGACAGAGTATCGTAACATCGTAGTGCCGCGGTAGGATGCTAACGTTAGCACAGCGCTGGCTATGGTTGTAGACCAGCGGCGCTGAAAGTGGAGCTGTTGGCAGCCGTCAGACAGGATGAGAGGTCAGTTGCAGGCTGTCCTTTACAGCAGATGGGGGGACCGGCAGGAGCGGGAGGTTTAAAGAACCAGAGTCAGGGCCCACGGGGAGGGGCAGGACGAAGAATGGGGCTGGTTATTTGATGGATGGAGCAGCGTTAGCAGGTGGCAGGGTGTAGCAGGGTAGAAAACCAAAGCGTCCGTCAAAAATGGCAATCGGGTGTAACAAATATGTCCAGATCAGAACACAAAAGCCACAGAATAGTTAGAAATCTATTGCAGTAGAAAGTGGTCAGAAACTCTTAGATTAACACAAAGAAAGACGAGATTTTCGGACAGAGAAGCGGCGAACAGTCAGCGCCAGCGTCCTCTCACGCCGAAGATAGCAATGTAGTTGTAGGAGTTAAATAGGAGTTAGTATAAGTGAGGATGGGTTTGTAGTTTGTTTATGTGTCTTGTCTGGCAAGTTAAATGTACTCCACTTTTGAAGGTTTGTACTATGTAGAATAAATGAAAAATACATGAGCAATACAAATAAATATAAGTAGTTTACAAAAAATAAGGAAATGTGAAAATAAATATGCAACTTAAAGGTCTCCATATATGTTTTGTTATTCTGTGTGATCTCCACCAAAGCTTTGTCTTTCTCTCATGTCGTTTACAGTTCCAGACTTAGATTGTTTCCTGTAGGTCAACTCAGGATCCCTACAGAGGAAACAGAAGGGCTCGTTAGGACTTCCCCTGCCCAGCTGACTCACCACCATCACATTACTTCTGGCTTAACACAGCCTTTTCCAAAATGGAATAAAAATAGAAATGCAAGAGACGAACCAGACAAATCATATTTCAGCTCCTCCCTAGTGGTGCATCATATCCTGGAAACACGATTACACTAAGACTTCAAACTAATATCTATTAGCAGGCTTTTAATCAAAATACGTAAGCAGAGATTTTTCCGTGTAGGACCAGATATTAATATTCCTTATTTGTAGTTATGAGGTAATGGAAGGGAAACCATACAACTGTATGTGTCGAGCGCCACCAAGTGGATGATTCTAGGCCAGCAGATTCAACAGATAAGTGACTCACTGTTTCTGTGATTATATATGTGGAGGTTTAATTCTCACTGTGTGTGTGTGTGTGTGTGTGTGTGTGTGTGTGTGTGTGTGTGTGTGTGTGTGTGTGTGTGTGTGTGTGTGTGTGTGTGTGTGTGTGTGTGTGTGTGTGTGTGTGTGTGTGTGTGTGTGTGTGTGTGTAGTGTCGTGTGTGTGTCGTGTCGT